TTTTTTTTTTTTTTAAGAAAAGGCAGCACACTCTCAACGATACAAAAAAAAAGCTAGCTATTTAGCCCATGTCTATAGTCCCAGCACTCTGAAGCAGAGAATGGTAAGTTCGAGCCCAGTTGGACAACTTAACAACTTATTGAGACCTTGCCTCCAAATCTGAAAGGGCTGGGTATGTAGTTGAGTGCAATGGACTTAGGTTCAACCCCCAGTACTGCCAAACAAAAGAAAACAACTTGGCAGTTGTGGTGACATACACCTATAATACCAGTAGTTGGGAGGCTTTGGAAGTTTGAAGCCAGTCTATATTTAGTGAGACTTTGTCTTTAAAAAAAAAAAAAAAAAATAGAGCCGGGGATGTAATTCAGTGGTGGGGTTCCATCCCAGTATTAGAAGTAAAGACTTGTGCATCAGAACACATCAACAGAGAAAAAGGCAAACCACAGAAGATATTCGGAAATCGCATATCTGACAAAGGAAGTATCTAGAATATTAAGTGAGCTCCTAAAACTGAGTAACAAAAATCAACTAATTCAAAAATGGGCAAAGTACCTAAATAGACACTTCTCCAAAGAAGAGGGTCTGGTAAGACCTTGAGAACAAATGGAGATGGTAGAGATAAAGGATTAGAACGCTGAGTAAGAAAAAGGCTAGAAACGTGTCCAGTTGTTGGACTGATTGGAGGCCCCTGGAATGAAGAATTATGACAGGAGAAATGCTGGCACGTGAGCCCGGTGTGCACTGGTGGGTGGAGGTACTGCTGACCACAAGGCAAGTGAATAGCCGCACCTGAGGCTGCAGGGTTAAATGGCACAAGGCAAATGATTAGCACAGTGCCTAGCATGTCATGGGTACTCAGTTACCAGCTATCACATTTTTACTTATTCTTGAGCTACAATACCATGAGCTATAGACTTTTTGAGTTCTTGTATTTGATCAGTAACTTTTCTAATGTACTTCTATTAAGGAAATCATAGATTGGAACTTGAAATTCAGTCTGGGCTATTTTCCTTTACATTTAAGTACCTAGCAGACCTTTTCTGTGGTTCCACCACCTGCCTTGCAAGCACAAGGTCGAGATCAACCCTCGGTACCAAAAAAAAAAAAAAACAACAAAAACCCAAAAGAGAGTGCTCCAGGGATTCTATAGAAAATACTGCTTCCAGAGATTTTTGAAGTTACATTGTTGGTGTCTATATAATGGTAAGATTGTTCCTGATCTGTCATATACTGAGACAGATGACCCCAGATTATTTCTTGTGACCAAGTATGATTACAACATAACAGTATGATGTAATACACTAAACCCATGAAACTTGGCTATACTTTCACACTACACTGATTACATCATTTTAAAGAAAAAATTCTGGAAGGTTTCAGGTCTAAAGATTAAATTTCTGAAAGAGGCAAAAATGGTTAGAGATCCATTTGTTATCACTGACATACAGTTTTTTTCTTCCCTAAAATGTGTATTTTAATCTTTCTCTTTAACTTTCAGGGGTCCAGATTAGATGACCAAAGATGTGCTCCTCCACCTGCTGCCACGAAGGGTCCAACAGTACCAGACGAAGATTTTTTTAGTCTTATTTTACATTCTCAGGCGAAAAGAATGGATGAGCAGAGAGTTCTTTTACAAAGAGATCAAAACAGAGACAAAGAATTTGGGCTAAAGGACCTTTTGCAAAGTAATGCTTTGTTGGAATTAAAAAGTTCAGGAAAATAATCAGCAAACCACTAGTTACTATGGATATTTAAAATACCTTATTTCCTTTCAGAGCACTTCAGGGAAATTCAATCTGTTTTCTCCTAAAAAGAACCACAGCACTGTAATACAGCTTAGTGACTTCAGAATGACAAGACTTGACTTTCTGTGGTGCACTCTGCAGGCACTCGTTTCAGGTGGTGGTATCCTGCCCTGTAAGGGGCCTCTTCAGCTTCCCACCAGTTACTGCCGGGGGCTGGGTTCTTTGGCAACTTGCTAGAGTTCTTTACTAGCATTTATAAAGCAGGAATTTAAATGAACCCTAGACTAGAATTTAATCCTCTTGCTGAGGTAATTATTAAAGATCTTAATTGACCATGGCATTTTTTATATCTAATCATGGATTTAGTGGGAAATAACACTCTTTAGTAAAAATATTGTACTTGACTGAGGTAAAAAGTTAGTCTTATTTTTTTAAAAATCTAGGGGCTGGGGGTTTAGCTGTGATGTCGCCGCCTGCCTCAACAAGCACAAGGACCCGAGTTCTATCCCTTGGTACAAAAAATAAATTTTTTTTTCCTCTAAGAAAATCTATTCTCCGTATATTTCTATTCAAGGCCAGTATAAAAGAAACCATTAAGAAATAAACTTGGGCTGGGGATTTAGCTCAGCAGTTCCGCCACCTGCCTTGCAAGCACAAGGATCCAAGTTCGATCCCCGGTACCAAAAAAAAAGAAATAAACTTCTTTTCACATATTTGGGTTGTTTTCTTGCATACTACTACTGTAATACAAACTTTTATAGGACCTAATGCTAAAGCAAAACAAAAAGTAACCCGTGGTTTTGGCAAGAACTCAGGCCACATAAATAGAAAATTCACAAAAATTAACAGGAAGGGCAATGAGTAAGAAAGTAGTTTCCAAGGGTACTTACCAGAGATCGTAACACAGTAAGTGCAGTATATGACAGACAATATATATGGAAGGGACAGGAGCAGGGCCTGGATGACACTAAACTATAGAAAGCAAATATCCACACCTGGAACAAACTGACAGCTTATGCAACTCTAGTTGATTTGGATTTTGCAAAGCTCAGGTGGGACTTCTTTCTCCTCCTATAATTCAGATGATTCTGATAGGCAAAAGTGAGACCCATTTCTCTAAAATGGTCAGTGTTTTAAAAAAAAAAGTTATACATACATAGCCTGGAAATAATATTAAAGAGCCCAGCAAAATTAAAATAATGGCTTTAAGATCACACAAATTTTGTCAAAAGCACAGGTTAAAACCTGGATTGCATTATGCTTCATATGTTATATGTAAGGTAGGATGTCTTACATACCATTATTTTAAAATCTACAGATAGCCAGGTGTGGTGAACACCTCTAAGACCAGCACCTGAGGCAGAAGGATCGCTGCGAAATGCAAGGTAGCCTGGACTTAGGGCAAGGCCAGCCCAAACTACATAGCAAGACCCTGTCTCAAAAAAATTAATATACACACACACAGCAGATGTTTTATGGTTCTTTTTATAAGAAAACACTAATGTAAAAGTAAATGTTTATTTTGTGTATACAGTGGTTCTTTGAGATCCTGTAAACATTCAACATTATTCCATTTAAAAAATGCTTTTAACAGCTGTTTGTCCCCATTCTGATTTTCTTAAAAGCTTTTTTACTGCGAGCCTTAATTTCAGTGGCACACACAGCTAGTCAGCAAACAAGCCTTATGGTTCTGAAATAACTGGCCTTGATAGGTTCAGTTCGCTTTAGTCGGTTCTTGCCATAATTGCTCTAATCATTTAACAGCGGAAACATGTTTTGCTAGCTGTAAAGTTAGGTCATATTCCCAAATGGATTATCTGTAATGAGAAAATACAAAGATGAAATTTTAAATGTTTTAAAAAAGATTCATTTGGGGATTGACTGAAAGAGCAGTCAGGAGTGAAGAAACTGCCTCTCCCCTCCTGGTTAACGTCTGTCACCTGAGGCGTGCATGTCTCCTCAGTGCCAGATCACAGCTCAGGACAAGTCCACCCGGATCGGTAGAAGTCTGGTCTCAGATGTTCACATCTGGTACACAGATGTTCACAAATCTAAACCGCAGGCATTTCCTTCACCCAACTGTTACATGACTCCTGTGTCACAAATGTTAAAATCTTTGTTTCTTAGATTAAAATGATTACCTTTCAAATGCAATACTAAATAGGTTTGCAATATTAAACTAGAAAATATCAGCAGATAAAATTGAAGCACTTAGTAATTCTGAAACCAAATAGGGATATTCTGCATTTCATATTAAAAATACCAAAAAGCAACTGCTTTTAATGTCTTTTGTGGGTCAGGGGTTTGGCTCAGTGGTTCTGCCGCCTGCCTCAAAAGCACAAGGGCCAGTTTGATCCCTGGTACCCCCCCACAAAAAAAATTTAATGTCTTTTTTTTTTTTTTAGAATACCTGCTTGAAAATTTAAGATTTTATTTCTGATAGCATTTCTAGAAATCAACAATATAACTTCTAGTGTGAATATGGTTAAAACAAAGAACACCGTATATATGTGAAGTCTGCTAGCTAGGGATATACACAAAATTTATAAATTGCTTTTTTTTTTTTAATACCAGGGATCAAACTCAGGACTTCATGCTTGCCAGTAAATTGCTTTTTTAAAAAGTTTAAAATGAAGATCTTTTTGAGACAGGGTTTCTGAACTATCTAGCCCAGGCTAGCCTCAAAACTCATAGTGATCCTCCTGCCTCAGCATCTTAAGAATGCTTTTTAAAATAAGGAAAACTAGCCAGGTATGATGGCACATACCTGTAATCCCAGCATTTGGGAGGCTGAGCCAGTATCATGAATTAATGGCCAGAGTGGGACACATGGCAAGTTCCAGGCCAACCAGCCTGGACTACAGAGCAAAACCCTGTCTCAAAAGCACAAAACTAGGAAAACTAATGCTAAATGTTAACTAAAAAAGAAATTTTGATTTATTGCAGTAAGGAAAACACCCTATTTTATTATAATGTTCTTTTCTATGTATAGATCTGTAAAATTTAGATCATCATATAGCCAAGACAATATGGTTTGTCATAAATAAGCTACAGTAATACCTAAGAGTACCAAATGCTAGGGTTCTGAGCAAAAAGAAAAATAGATCTTACAAAATCCATGCACTTCATTTAGCAGGGAAAGAATAAAGCTATTTTAAAAAGTATACTGACAATGTAAAACAGGTTTATGGATGTATGTTAATCTAAATTCCTATGGTAATCTTCAGTTCTGTATTAGACATAAAAAGTACAAGGAAGCAGGGCCAGTAATAGCTGCAAGAAGGGATGAAACCAGAAAGTCACAGATCTGTGGTTACCCTACCCAGAGACAAACGGGTCGGTTGGAGTGACACTGGTGGCACATACTCTGGCTAGGAGCTTATTCTGTGAACTAAAGTAGGTGAGACAGGACTCTTACCAGGGAACATTCACCAGCTGCCTGCAAACAAAATTTCTTCTTCAGTGTCCCTTAATTTAGTCATTTTAATTATCCAAATATATACCTGCCATAATACTTATTTTAAAAAGTGCATTCTACGCCGGGCGTGGTGGCAGACGCCTGTAATCCCAGCACTCAAGAGGCTGAGGCAGGAGGATCGCTGTGACTTTGAGACCAGCCTGGGCTACACAGTGAGTTCCAGATCAGTCTCAACTACATAGTGAGACCCTGTCTCAATAGTGAGACCGACTCAAAAAACCAAAAAAAAAAAAAAAAAAAAGTACATTCTGAGTCCTTGTTCCAAAATTAATACTTCAAAACTTTATAGGATTTATCTTTAAAAGATAAAATCAAACTCTTTTACATACATGTCTGTTAATTCTGTCAGTAAAAATATGATTAAATTGGCACTTTTGTAGCAAATATCAGAATGTATGCAGGGAAGAGTGAATAGAGATGTTAAGAACATACTTTACCAAAATCAAAAGAAGACTCCAGAGCTGTGGCCCATGTCTGTCCCTCTAGCTGCAGGGGCTGCTAACAGGATCCCTTCCACACAATGGGCTGCACACGCTGCCCTTCTGGGGGCTGCCTTCAGCTTCACTCTTTAGCGGGGCCTTTTCCATGCCAGGTGAGCCTTCAGGGGCACTTGAGACCGCTTGGCCAGAGGCAGGCTTAGCAGCCTGGCTGCTTTCTGTCCTGGTGCTTTCTTCTGTGATGCCACCAGTCTCTCGGGCCTTTGTATCCACAACAGGTGACTTATGCTATAAAGTACAGAATTATATTTTAACTAAAGAACGTAGTATAAAGGTTTAGTAATTTAGTAATATAAATGTTAGTAACATGTAACGAGTTCTATTGTAGCAAACTGCAAACACTTTCAAATCTTGATTCCAGTGATGGATTATAATTATATAAATAGCCTCAAACAACCATAGATGAAGGAGTGTGGACGTCATAGGTGGATTAGTGACCCAGATTAGGAGGGATCGAGAGGACTGGTCACCAGTATCTGATATGTGGGTGAAAAGCATTCTAGACAGTACATGGCAAGTACAGTCTTGAGCTTTAGAAAAGGTCAGGAACCCTTGTGACTGAGCTCAGCAGGAAGTGGCAAGGTAGCAGATGTGGAGTAAGGCAGCCTTGGTTTTCCCTTCAAATGAGACAGGAAGTTACTAGAGCAATTTTGAGATGAGTGGCAGATAACCAAACATTAACTGTAAAACTGGAAGGGATGTCCTCAAGAATTCTAGATACATACATATATGTTTATTTTTAGAAGTCCATGACAAGAAAGAGATTTTATAATTTCCTAGATTATTTTGTGCTCCTAACGGTCAAAAGGTTTATAGTTGGAGTCGAAAACTATAAATGATAATATCAAAACCTTTCTCAAAACAGAAATGAAAATGTACCATTTTTAAAAAATAACTAGCATGAAAATCTCCTCACCACTCTGGAGATAAAAGTACAGTCTAACCAGCCAATGGAGCTGGGAAAGCCAGGTTTGCTCCCTACCAGCCACTCTCACCCAACCGGGCCGTTACAGCTCCACTGCCCGTCTCCCAGCGCTCTGGGCCTCTGGTGAGGCCTCTTCTCTATTTCTTCAAAGGTAGAAATTTCAGTCATGCTCATTTGTTGGTTCCCTATGAATTTTCCTATGAATTACCATCTATTCCAACAAGCTATAGTTAAATAGTATTTAGCATAAAAATTTCACCTCATTTTAGTTCTTCTGAAGAAGCTGAACTAACTTCTGACCAAAAGGAGGAAGAAACAGCAACTAGGTATACCACCAGTGATGTAATTAAAAGTGAAGAGTTAAAAACAATCAAAAGCTCTACAAGATGCATTTAGGCCTAGCACAAAGGAACAGCAAAATAACTGCTGACTTACACTGGGTACCACCGTGGGATGCTCTTGTGCCTCTGTATCTGGTAAATCAAATGCCCGGAGCACTTCAGGGCTCTTGTTGCCAGTCTGAAATCTCAAGTCAACGTCTCTCTCCCTCAAAACATCTCTTCTACACTCAAGTGCTTTGTCATAAGGGCCTTGCTCGAGGGAGCCAGAATGGCCCCTGTAATAGAAATCTGCATCACCTGCTCCACCACTGAGTCTATCATCAGTTTCCTTCTGCCGTCTTCTATCACCTGGCTCCAGGGCCCGGGGAGGTTCTCTCTCAGGACCACCTAAATGTCTCACCACGCCAACTGACTTTCCAGTACCATAGCAGAAACTCTGTAAGGAAAAGAAAGTTTCTTGGCTGACTTATAGTGAGGTTATGAGGTATTTTATTTATTGGGTATGCTAACAATATTATCTAACATTTATATACATACACAAACATTTTTTTTTCACTAGAGACTTTTTTTAAATACAGGCCAATAAAACTGACTAAATCACTCAGTATTAAGTAGACATTTCAATCAGCTAGACATGTTCTGATTGAATTTATACTATAACGAGGGCAGAATGAAGCCTAGAAATTTAAATTAGAAAGTGATAACTCAGAATTTCCTGTACGTTTCTGTATTCATATCAGTCAAAAGTAAATGCTGAAAATTATTTCAAATTGTATGTCACTATGTAAATATTCTCCAGTAGGTTTATTTTTTACAAATACAAACTTGGCTTAAGCTACACCTAAAATTCAACAGCTTTTGATTCACATTTCACTGAATAAACTAGGCAGTAGTTCTCAAAGTGTGGTGCAGGGACTCTTTCAGAAAATCTTTGTGATCAAATAACTTTTCATACTATAAACATCATTTGCCTTTCACTGTCCTCTCATGAGTGTATCGTGGAATGTTTCAGGGGCTAGGATGGTATCCACCCTCTGACAGCTCATGGGATGTGGATTTGTATGTACTTCTAATTTCAAATTTTGTTTTAATTTCCAATGTTATGGTAAATATCAATAAATACAACCCCACAAATGGGAGCTCTTCGTGGTCTTCTATTTTTAATACATGCTTCAGAGGCCGAGGCAAGAGGCATATTTCAGCCAATGAGTGCAAGGCCAGCCTGAGCAACACAGTAAGATCTTGTCTCTGATTTTAAAAAAAAAGATGTGCAAGAATCCTAGGTACAAAAATCTCTGTACTAGCGATAAACTATTGGAAGACAGAATCAACTAAAGTCAGTATTAACTTTCATTAGAAAGCACATGAAACAAGAAACCACACAGCTTTGTTTTAGAGACTAAACTAAGTTCTATAGAATTAATGTCACCTAATAAAACCATACCTCAAAACCGCTGAATCCTGTAATCACAAACCAAAAGACAAAACCAAAGGACACTTTCAGGGTGATTAAAGCATGGTGAATTTTATATCCTGAGGGAGGAGAATTTCCCATGGCAAATCTGAGTTCTTTACTTTTCATGTTATGTGGCCAATACTTTTTCGGGGTACCAACTCAAAATCAGTGCTGATTTTGGGGTACTAAATAAAAAAGCCGAATAGGCAATGGGTAAATAAGCAACATTCTTCTTAACAAATGCCTGCTCCTGGATCCCCCAAATTTTCTTGGCACAGCCCTCTTCTTCCATGTCCTTGTCTGATTCTGTGTTCAAGCCAATGCTCTCCCTTTTCAATGCTCTAAGCAGGCTCCCTTTTTCAATGACTAATCAACTGACTTGCTATATATTAATTCACTCAGTTTAAAATTATGTTTCCTTTTTGTTTTTTTTGTACCGGGGATTGAACTCAGGTCCTTGTGCTTTTGCAGCAGGCAGCAGAACCACTGAGATAAATCCCTGACTATGTTTCTTTTTTTTGTAAGAATCTTTTTGGTTTATGTCTTATACCGAGTAAATTACTTTGAAGATAACAATAAACAGTGTAGTAACTTTATTCTCTTATTTGATTGTATTTATTCTCTTATTTGGTTGTGTAAATTTTTTAGTTTTCATAAAAACAAAAAAAAGAAGTTATCCTAAGTCATTGCTGTGACATCTACAAATGAGAAGCATTTCCTTGATTAGAGGAATACACACGGAAGTACAAATATCACTTAAGTCACTTTCTCATACCAATAAGTATGATTTGCCATGATGCACAACAGCAAAGCAGCCCAGTAATTTGAGAATTGCCTTTTTTTCTGCAAATCCTGTTAATCAACAATACTAATATACTAACCAGGACGGCCAGCGCCATAATCAGCAGCACAGGAATCTGAAGTAACACTGGGATCTCCTTCATGAGTGCTTTAATAAATTCACCAGTTCCTTTTCCAATGTGCTTTAATGGTTCTGTTACAAAGTTGGTAAATGTAACTGCCAGTGCCTAGAAGAAAAGATAAAGGCAACCTAATTATTTTTCCTCAAAGAGCTAAGACAAAAAGAATCAGCTCAGTGGTGCCACCACTTGCCTTGCAAGGGGAAGGTCCTGAGTTTGATCTCTGGTACCAAAAAATTTAAAAAAGGAATCAGCCCAGTCACTTGTGTGTTCAGGCTGAAATTATAAAAATTACTATGTGGGGGCCAGGGATTTAGCTCAGTGGTTCCGCCACCTGCCTCACAAGCACAAGAACCTGAGTTCGATCCCTGGTACCCCCCCCCAAAAAAATTACTATGTGATGGAAAATTTTTTCTATGACAAAGATTTATTAGCAAAACAACTCTTAAAAACACTAACTTTTTATAAATGCAAAGGATTTTTTACATATTGTGTATAAGTAATTTTTACAAAATATATTCTATACCTTTGTCGGTGGAACCAACCAAATAGGGTTGACTAATAAGAGCTCATAGTATTTTTGGCATGGGTCATCCTTATAGGTCCATGAACTTCTGAACCATTCTATTTGGAGAAACAAACAGACAAAACACTGAATCATTTTCCTAAAGTTGCATTTCATTCCCAAATAACATAAGTTTGTTTTGATTCCAGTCAATTTTGAATTATAAATTTTAAATAAACTTCCTAAATATGTTGATTAAAAATTTATCTTATATCAAAAATTAGATTTATTTTAAAAATCCAAATTACCCATCTTACAAAGACAAAAAATTTTACTTTATAAGGATTTCTAAAAGGTAAATAACTAAAAGTAGTTTTTTTATACATACAAATGAGTACAAATAAAACTAGGGAGATGTGAATAAGATTAGTGGGTTGTATCAAAGTCAGTATCCTGGCTCTGTTATGGTACTCCTGTAGCTGTGTAAGATATTACCACTAGGGGAAACGGATAAAGGGGTTTATAGGCTTCATTTCTTATAATTCTCTCTGAATTTATAACTCCATATTTCAATTCAAAAAGTCAATATTTTACTATTTCTACAAAATAAAGTGGACTATTATTTTTTACAACTTTTCTATGGCACTTAGTTGTTTCCTAAAGCCAAAAAGCAAACCTGAATTGATGCAGTTCCCGCAAATATTTTTAAAAACATTAATTTTAAAACACATTTATAGAATCTAGATTTTATTCTATGTATACTGTTATGGACTTGTCTTTATAAAGTGCCTTTGAAAATTATATATATACCAAAGCTTAATACAGATAATTAAAGACAATCAACATTAGTGACAATGTTTACAAAATCTGTAAGAATAAAAAAATTTTTCTTTAGTTAAAAATAATTTACTAAATGTGTAACAATATTTCATAAGTCAGTATGAGATTAAAGCTAGGACAGTTATTAGTTTGCATATACACACATTCAGTTCTTTAATAAGAGGCCCTACAGAGTGTCAGGCACTGTGCCAAGGACCAAGTGAACAAGTGAGCAAAACAGGACTCTGCAGTCTAATGGAAGAAGACAGATGTCAGAGCCAACATATGCAGTTTCTGTTCCTGTGACTTTACATGAGGCTAAAACGTCAACAGTTTACAGTCCTCTCACTGCAGTTTTTTTTAATCTTTTTTTTTAAAGACAGGCTGGCTTTGAACTCATGATCCTCCTGCGTCAGGCTCCCACATGCTGGGACTACAGGCACGTGGCACCACCACCAGCTACACACATTCATCTCGTGTTAATGATTTAGTCATAGAAGGCCTCCTCTGCCATTTCATTATGTTGTTTTCTCATTCTCAGAATTCTATTAAATATAGGGACAAATGAACACAAGCCTTACCCCAGAGACTGCCACTCCAATCCATCTTCTCTGCACATGCATTGCCTAATGGCTCCATCTTGGCAATTTCAGCCTGGTGCTGTGCAAAAGCTAGCTGACCGACACCAAAAATGAACCATGAGAGGCTGCCTACAATGAAAGCTAGACCCACACATCCAAAACACCTCAGTTCAATCAATATGTCTTTACCATTTCTCCAAACCAGACTGATATTATTTTTATTTTTTGCTTGTTTTTCTGAGACAGGGTCTCACTATGTAGTGCAGGTGGCCTTGAACTTGTGGCACTCCTACCTCAGTCTCCTGAGTGCCTCGATTACAGGCAAGTGCCATCACACCCTGCTTTAATTTTAGAAGATAATTAAAGATTAGAAAAAAGATTGGAAAGAAATGTCACAATATTGAGTGATTACTCACAGGTAATAAAACTATAGGTGAATTTTTTAAATTGTTTATGTTTTTCTAAATTCTATACTGTGAACATTTTTTTTAAAAGATGCTGGGAATTGAGCTCCAGGTCTTACGAATGCCAGGCAAGCACCCTCTACCACTGATCTATATCCCCACCCCTGAACACGCCACTCTACATTAAAAAATTACCTAACTTTAAAAGAAATGGCATTTTGGTATCATTTTTAACAAAGAATAAAAGGACATACTCCAAATTACTTATGAGTTCTTAAATTGTTGGTAAAGTGTCCACTAGCTCTGTGTTAACTTAGTTAGCTATAAGCTACCCAGCAGGAACTGGTTATGAAAATCAGGACTACACTTTTCCCCACCATGGATCAAGGACCCAAAAAACCATACTTCATTGAAAATTGTGAATTTAATACCTCCCCACTGAGCAGCTCCAAACATAGCCTTCCACTCATCTCTGAGGCAAGACTGCTATAAGTATAGTCTTCTATAAATTTACATTAAAAATTTTAACTCTGTACTGATTTTATACCTTATACAAATACATCCAATTCCATCCCAAACTGACGAGAAAACTGATGATAAAAACACGTCTCAACTGGGTGTACCAACGAACACGCGTCCACAGCTCCGTAGCTACTAACATCACAATGCAGAGCAGACACAGGAGTACCTCAAAAACAGAAGAAGGTGGAGTCAAACCACTGTAAAGCTGTCCCTCCCACCAAAAATGGTAATGATCAGTAAAACCAAAAGAACTGGAACCAAAATCATTTGCCCAGTTTTGCTGCTTGTTCAAAATCATGGTATGAGTGATGAAGCATAGGTTCTTAATGTAATTATGGTGGCATTTTAAAAAATATTTTTTAAAAAAAGAAACATAATCATGTCACCCTTATCCTATCTTACCATCAACACACTGTGTGGATCCATTCCAAAGGAATCTTCAAATCTCCACTTCCATGTTTCAAAATCATGAAGCTTAAAGTTAATTAAAATATCACTCAGTGCATCATCCAAGGCTCCTGGTTTCCATTCCTCTCCACTGAGAAACTTCTGTATTTCTAATAAAGTTTGTCTTTTAAGGATAATCTCAGCATCATAATGCATATCATCTTTGTTTTCATCGGGCTAAATAAAATTTCCCACAAAGAATAGAAAAAGAATTTTATTACATTATTCAGTGAAAAGTGAATATAAAATCCAGCTTGGAACATAATATATAATTTATTTGTATGACCTCCAGCACTGCAAAAAAATAACAACTATAACTAGTCTACAATATTTCATATGCATAGTAACATCCACCTCTGTCTCAAAGGCCAAATACATATGAAAAACATTTGAAAACATTTCTCCATGTAAAATACTGTGCACTTTATTAAAATGCAATTGATTCTTGTTATTTGCAGTACTTCTGCTCTACAAAGTCATTTCACACACTATCTAGCAAGTACTGAACCATTACTCCTAAAGAAAAAACAGGGTTAGGGCCCTGTGAAGCTCTCATCATAACATTTTTATCAATCAGTCAATGTGTAACTTTGTTTCATGTGTATAGCATCTTATTAATATATTCTATTGATTACCACAGAACACAGCTAACAGTCCTATAATTCCTGTTTGAATGAAGCCTATCTAACATGTATATTTTCTCTGTAAAACATATCTCAGCCTTCTTGCACTTAAGAAACACCAGACAGTACTTTTGGGGGACATTTAAACAACAATATTATTCTCCCCACAAAACAAACTGAAAATTTAGCTCTAAACAGATCATGCTAAATGTAACAGAAAAGACACTTATTAGTAGTATTAGAGTTGAAAGAAGGAGGCAAGATTCTTTGCCTTCTTCCACATTAGCTGGAGACAGGCACATCAAAGCCAATCAAATTTTCTGCCACTCTGCACATGTCCAAAAATGAACATAAAATTACTGAAGTTTTTATTGTGAATCACAAAGAAATTTTAGTGAATAGGTAAATTCATAAATATGGAATCTGCCAAAAATGAGGATTGACAGTGTATCTTTTTTTTTGGTACCAGGGACCGAACTTGGGTCCTTGCGCTTGCGAGGCAGGAGGCAGCACCGAGCTAAACTCCCAGCCCACTGTATATCTTTTTTTTTTTTTTTTTTTTTTTTGAGACAGGGTCTCACTACGTAGTTGAGACTGACCTAGAGCTCACTATGTAGCTCAGGCTGATCTCGAACTCACGGTGATCTTCCTGCCTCAGCCTCCTGAGTGCTGGGATTACAGGCATGCACCACCACACCTGGCTATAACCATCTTTATTAGTGTGAGCTCAGCTTAGCAAAATCTGTGTAAACCATATTTTACATTCATTTGCCAGTTGATGATACATGTTACTTTGGATGTTAAATGTCCCCCAGAAGTCCACGGGTTAGAGGGTTGGTCCCCAGGGTAGCACTCAACAGAGATGGTAAAATCTTTAGAAAGCAAGGCCTAGCAGGAGGAAGTTAGGTCACTGGAAGGTGTGACCTTGAAGGACTGTGGGTCCTCAGCCCTTCCTCTTTCCCTTTTGTTTTCAGGCCATGAAATGAGCAGTCTGTGTCCCTACAGACTTCCAGGCAGCAAACGCCATCTGGGGTACCTACCAAAGGCCCAAATCAAGAATCTGTTCAATCTTGGGCTGGAATTCCAACCAAAACTGGGAGTCGAACATTTTCCCTTTATGTTTACTATCTCAGCTATTTCATTATGGTGACAGATAGCTAACAAAACAAGAGAAAAGTCCCTTTTCTTTTGTAAGAGTAAATACAGATTTAAACAAAATGTCAAACACCAAAATACTGTAACATATCACAAATTAGAAAACTTTAAAAAAGCTATCATATTAACTTTCTTTTTAAATCAGAAGCTAATTATTTCTTAACATCTCCATCTTAAGTATATGGCTCCATCTATTTCTTTCTTTTTCTTCTTTTTTTTTTTTTTTTTTTTTTTTTTTTTTTTTTTTTTTTTGGTGCCTGGGATCGAACTCAGGACCTTTCACTTGCCAGGCAGGTGCGGCACCACTGAGCTATATTCCCAGGCCTCCATCTTTTTGTTTATTTAGACTCTAGTCCACTCGGTACACAGCGGTTAAGACTCAAATTAGAGGGTGTACAAATGAGAACATCTGCTTTTACACTTCTCAAATAAGAATGGTCGTATGAAATTCTATATCTAACACTCCTTCCCTTTTAACCACTTCTTTGTGGCCCAGGAGGACAGTGTCTGCTCAGCTTGGCCAGCCGGCCCCATGTGGATACAATGGGCTTGCATTTTCAGGGATCTGTCTGTGATCAACTGTAATGACTGGAGCTAATGACCAGACCAAATAAGTCTGGTCTCTGATTCTCTAGACCAATGTAGTGGCATACAAAATAGGAATAAAAAGTCTGTGTGCTTGAAAGTGAATGTTATACATCTTATAAGTTATATAATTGTTAAGTTTCTTGATATTTTGACTCCTCAAAGTGAAAACAGTGAACTTGGAAATTTGGGGCTTGGGGTATAGCTCAGTGGTGACACTCTTGTCTAGTATATGCAAGGTACTAGGTTTGATTTTAGCACTGCCAAAAAATTCAATAATATGCATATGATATATAATTCTACAAAGTAGTACCTGCCACAATAAACAGTAAGGAGAAAAAACTATTAAAATATGTTTTTCTTAGCTGGGCACAGTGGTGCATGCCTGTAATTCCAACAAGACAAGGCAGTAAGATTACAAGCTGGAGGCCAGCCTGGGCAACTTTTTCTCAAAAGAAAAACCAAAGCTCAGTAGTGTAATACTTGCCTAGCCTGCACAATCCCCTTGGTTCAATACCCCAGTAGCACCAAATAAACAAATATACTTTTCTTTTCCTCAACATATAATGATCTTTCATCATATGACTAAGAAGTATGAAAACAGTAGAAAGAAGTAGGGTGAGAACAGAATTATCACCCACCCCCTCACCTCAATCAGTGGTACAGCAATGCACAGAGGTAACTGAGTAAATCCTCGTAAGCTGTGGGAAAAAGAAAAGTGGTCTGCCCTGCTTGCCTTCCAGCAAACCGCTGCAAAGCAGGCTGGTGCTTTCCATCTTCTATGAAAAGCTTTTGGGAAAGAGATGAGTCAGATATTCTATTAAAGCATAAGATGACTTAATCACTTCTTTACACTATTTCAAATTAATAACTACCACATTGATTAGTATCCACCACCAAATACTTACAAGTCCAAGCTTTCCGGCTTCAATTAAAATTTTATTTAGGTATCTCCTAAAAAGAGGATTACTTTGACTTTCATAGTCTTCCCGCTTTTTCTTTTCACACTCATCAATCTGTAATTATATAGTAAATTCAACATTAGTGTCAAATTTTAACATACGAGTTGATTTTCTAGTGTGGTGACGCCATCAAAGTCAAAGAAAGGAGCTATCAAGCTTGTATGACGTTATCAAACAATATGTTAAATTTCTAAAAGACACAGTGCCATTAATCCCCCTCAAAATACTGTCCCTTGCTTTGAAAACACATGCACCTCATGGTTCTTGCCACTTCTAAAGCGATTCTGGAAATCCTCTTTCCTAAGGTCTTTACAAGGTCTCACCAAAAATACAGAGACGACTGCTGCCAAGTGCCATCAACAGAAAGGCAGGCTTATAAAAACATTAAGATGTTCCTTATCCACCTTATTCACCAGATCTGGCACCACGCAACTTCTGGCTCTTCTTGAATATCAAAATAATCATGAAAGGTAGATATTTTGAATTAATTCAAGATGTCCAATGAGGCAGCCACAACAGCACAATTAAAGACACTCATGAAAGAGGACTTCTAAAACTGTTTCAGAAAGCAGCAAGAACCATGGGATAAGTGTGTTCAAAGAAAAGAGGATTATTACGAGGGGGATTAATGGCTGGCAATGTGTCTTTCATTATAATTTTTTGGGTTTTTTTGCTTTTTTTTTTGAGACAGGGTCTCACTATGTAGTTGAGACTGATCTGAAACTCACTATGTAGCCCAGGCTGGTCTCGAACTCACAGCGATCCTCCTGCCTCAGCCTCCCAAGTGCTGGGATTACAGGTGTGTGCCACCACGACCGGCCTTTCATTATAATGTTTGGGTGGTTTTGTTTTTTGTTTTTGTACTGGAGATCAAACTCCGGACCTTGTGTGTGTGAAGCAGGCAGCAGAACTATTGAATTACATCCTCAGCCCTTGGTGTTTTTTGTTTTTTGTTTTTCTTTGATACTGGGGATTGAACTCAGGTCCTTGTGCTCACGAAGCAGGTGGCAGAACCACTGAGCTTAATCTCCGGCCCCTAGCCCTGGGTGTTTTTAATTTAAACATTCACCATACTTTTATCACACCCTGTATTTATCAACCATATTACAGTGCAGAACTTGCTTGCTTCCTGTGGGCTCTCTTTGTGAAGAGCAGAAGGCAACAAATGAAGAACCCAGTCCAACAGCCCTGACTTGGCAGTTTTTTCTGCTGCCTTTCAGCAATTTTAAAGCTGAAGATTATGAAACAAGGAAGGAGAAATCCACAGCATCTGCACCTATTTGCCTCTGTAATTTCAAAGCAATGATTTAATGAAAGGAGAAAAGGGAGGAAAGGAAGGATAAATACAGAGAGGGGAGACAGAGACAGAAAGAGGATGAAGTCAGAAAGAAGATGAACACAGCAAAGAATTTCTTGCATGTACATATCACTTCCGACCTCCAATTTTTCTGTCAGTGAATGATCACCCACGACTACACAGAATGCTCAAGAAGGCAGGATTTGTAGCTTTTCCAGAGTTCCTACAAATGGCAACCCTTCAGTAAATTTCAGAATGTACCCCCAACCCCATACTGGTGACTGAACTTAGGGCACTGTGCATGTTAGGTAAGTATTCTACCACTGAGCTACATCCTCAGACATTTTTATGTTGCGATGGGGTCTAAGTTACTCAAGCTGGCCTCAAAATCCTCCTGCTTTAGCCTCCTCAGCAGCAGGGATTTAGAGGTGTGCACTACCATTCCCAATCACAGTTCTTCATTCAATAGAACCAACTCTAAAGTTGAGCTCTACCACAGTGGTCCAGCTGCTGAGTGAAGGTAGTAGATATTTTATAAATATTAAAGTAGGTTTGTAATAGTCAACTTAATTAAGGGCCATGACTTCAGCTGTGTACTGAAATGGCTTCAGTTGACAAACAGGACAATAATCAAGCAGTGTACACACAGACTTAGAAGTCACACATGCAGCAGTTTTGTCCGCTTTCAAGGCAAGTCTTATAAACCAGTTCATTAAAAATAAACACACACATTGGGCCGGGGATTTAGCTCAGTGGTGCTGCCACCTGGTACCAAAAAAACAAAAACAAAACAAACAATACACACACACACACACACACACACACACACACACACTGGAAACTGATACTGGAAATTGAACCCAGGGCCTCTGTGAATTTCATTGTGAGCCCCCTTTTATTAATTTTATCAGTACATTTTAGATATACATAAGCTCACGTTCATTACAGGGAATTTATATCTATACATGATATATCTTGATTCTTCTTTTTTCCTCAATCCCCTAAGTTACTAAGTGACCCATGCTGGGCTCCAAATCACTCTCCTCCTGCCTCAGCCTCCCAGAATTCTGGGATTACAGGTGTGTGCCACCACATCCAGCTTATTTTAAATGCCTTTTTGTTAACTAAAGACTCAAGGGGGGCTCACTTGATAGGGCTCAAGTCTAGATTTTACCAATCGTAGCTTTATAATGTTTGAGCTAAAATCACAAAGAAGGAAAAGGCATTTTTAAATTTCTTCCTGTACAAACAAACTAATTAATTACACCACAAAACACAGTTCAACCGGAGCAAATGTTACATGAACATGTCTTTGTTAGCATATGGTAAGAAGCACAACAGGGGCTTGTAGCTCTAAACTGGGATACATGTGGATGTCAGTTAACAACTCTCCCAGTCCTCAGGGTGGAAACCTCACCTGTGTGCTCTAGCTCTTTCCTATCCCCTCCTTTCCTCAGCTATCAGCATTTATCTACTCTGCCTCATACAAGTTTCACACTTGCCTCTTCTCTTTACCTGTCACTGTGTCTTCAGCACTGCTAGACCTCTGTGACCCCAAGTGACATCACAACCAGGCCTCTTTCCACCCCAGGCTCTCTCCATCTCGCGGCCAGCTTATTCTACTTGCTCAGCCAACAGAGGGTGGCTCTCCAGCAAACAGTGATGCTGCTCAAACCGTTTAGGGACCCTATTTCCCTCTGCAGCCAATTGTTTTTAAAAGACTCAAAGAAAAGAAGGAACGAACAGCCACCATGCTCTAAATTATAATTACCTTTTATATTTCTAGGACTGACTTTTACACTTATAAACTACTACGAGGTCAATTTCCTCTGCTGCATTTACTGTGATTCTACTCTGCCTGAGTGCTTGCTATGCTACATGGTGCAGAATAAAGACAAATAAAGTATATCCCTCACACCAATAAGTCTAAAGTTTGGGAAGAAAGTAATTACAACATGACATGTTATTATAAAAAATACAAAATACTGTAAGAGAAACTATGACTACAGTAACTAAAAAATTTATGTCATATAGAAATACAAACATTACCAAAGACAAGACAATCAAATGACAATATAAATACCATAAATGGAAAACATCTTACCTTATGAGTTAAAGAATCAAGTCTATTATAACATTCTGACATTTCATCAGCATGTGACAATTCAGGACTGGCATCTTTTTTCTCTGATATACCATATTTCACCTAAAACAAAGTAGAGATATTTATTTTATAGTTCAGCTATAAAAAAAATAATCTTCAATGAAGACTAAAATTATGACTTCACCATTTTATGACTTTTCTCATTATATTATTCTCTTATACTGAACTACCAAAAAGTAATTCTCTCAAATGTACCTTTTAAGAACTAACATCAAACTGGTCTGCAGCTTGATGGACTTTACATTCAAATTAAAAACAACCAGGTGAGTCTGAAATAATCTTAAGAGAATTAGGTAGGTATTCTGGGGCTGGGATGTAGCTGAGTGGCAGGGTCCTTGCTTAGCATACACAGAGTCCTGGGTTCAATCCCCAGTGCCATTAAAAAGAGGGCCAGGCATTTAGCTCAGTGGTTCCACCGCCTACCTTGAAAGAGTATGGTCTCAAGTTCGATCCCCAGTACCAAAAACACAAAAACAAAACAAAACAAAAACAAAAGAAGATATGTATTCTGCACAACTGTACTCATTAATGCATTACTTTCATGGCTCTGTGTTAAATAGTAAGAGAAACAGACTATTTCCATCACAGGACTAATAAGGTCCTACACATATCTGTCTTAATACCTGAGATTTTCTCATTGTTCCTGAAGCAGCATCATAGTTGAGCATGTCTGTGGGGTCAATCCAGTCGTCATCGTGAGCATAGCCAGTGAGCAGCAGCAGACACTCACAAAGGAGCACAGAACACAGCATCCTGTGTAAGACTAAAACATATTAACAGCTTTAATGAAAGATAATTCTTTTCATAGTAAAAACTACTTCCTTCTAGTGTTAAGGCAACACTTTTTTGTTTTGTGAGACAAGGTCTTACTATGTAGTCCAGGCTGTTTCTGAACTCACTATGTAGCACAAGGCAGCCTTGAAGTCACAGTAATCCTCCTGCCTCAGCCTCCATACTGCTATTTTCTGCAGTGTAACTAAGGAAGGTACATGAAATAAAAATAATAAAATGGAGGGCCAGGGATTTAGCTCAGTGGTGCTGGTGGGCCTGCCTCGAAAGCCCAAGGTCCTGAGTTCGATCCCTGGTACCACAAAAAAAAAAAAAAAAAAAAAAAAAAAAAGTAAAATGGCATTCATGTATAAAATATGCATATATGTACAACATTCTCATTGAAATAAGGAGGTATTTTTGCTATGGTCCAGCAATTTCATTACCTGATATACACCCAAGAGAAATGAAAGCATATGCCCACACAAAAACTTGTATGTGAATGTTTACAGCCACATTTTTTTCAAAAGTCAAAAAGTGAAAAAAATTTTCATCAGTTAATGCTGTAAAAATAAAGTGTGGTACAGCCATACAATATAATATTATTTAGCCATAAAAAGGAAGTACTGACACCATGTTATAACATGAACAAACCTTGAAAGTGTTATACTGAGAGAAACCAGTCATAGAAGAGTGGGTAAAACACAATTCCATTTACATGAAATGTCCAGAATAGGCAAATTTATAGCAAGAGAAAGTAGGTGAATGGGTGTTTAAGGATGTGCATATGGGGATATAAAGGGAATGTAGCTAAAAAGTACAAGTAATGAAAAATATTCTAAAATTGTAATAGGTGGACATATCCGTGTATATACTAAAAACCCACTGAGCCAGAAATGGCAGCACACACCTATAATCCTAGCACTTGGGAGTGTAGCAGAAGGACTGCCACAAGTTCAAAGCCAGCCTGAACTATAGTGAGTTCAAGGCCAGCCTGAACTGCATAGCAAGAGCCTATCTCAAAATACATAAATACATACATAGAAACGTACTACTGAATTTTACACTTTAATTGGGTAAATATATTCTAATATTATGGAATAAGATATAACCTGGTTGGGTTTTTTTGTTTTCGGTACCAAGGATTGAACTCAGAACCTTGAGCTTGCCAGGCAGGTGCGGTGCCTCTGAGCTACATCCCTAGCCCAAGTGTTACCTGATTTTAAAATAAAAGCAAGCCAATTAAATGGGTGAACTGTATAGACTATAACTTATAGCTCAATACATTTGAGATAAAAAACCTTCATTCCCTCACCCATTTTTTTTAACAAATGGAAGAAAGTATGAAATTAAGATTCAGATGAGGTGAATGAACTCCAAACCCATTCAGAGAAAATAACCTGCTCTCCCAAGCCCCTGTATAACATACTATCCAATATAGTAGCCACCAGCCACATGTGGCTTTTGAGTCCTTGAAATGTAGCTAGCGGAAAGGAGAAACTGAACTTACTTCTTTCTTTAATTTTTGAGACAGGATCTCACTATGTAGTTGAGACTGCCCTGGAATTCACTGTGTAGCCCAGGCTGGTCTCAAACTCACAGCAATTCTCCTGCCTCAGCCTCCCAAGTGCTGTGATTACAGATGTGCACCACCACACCCGGCTTTGAATTTATTTCTTAAATTAACACATAACATTGAACACTGAAAATACAGAACATTTCCACTGGCACAGAAAGTTCTATTTGACAGCCTACCTCATATTTACTATATATAAGGGAAGGGCATGTGCCTCACTACATAAACAGCTTAGAAGCACCAAAGCCATTCCAGTGAAAACTAAATACTCCTCTGTGTAGTTTATTTATTCTTCAAGTGAAACACATGGTCAAATGAGTCCTTTATTGGTCTGTCTCCTTCATTAATGCAGAGGTTCTCAGCCATGGCTGTACACCAGAGTCACCTTGGATGCTTCTAAAACATCTAGTGTTCTGGCCACTTTCCAAATCAATTAAATCAGAATCACTGAGGTTGGAACCCAGGCACTAGATTTTTAAAGCTCCATAAGTGATTCCAATGTGCAGCCAAAATTGAAAACCACAGTACAGTACAATAACATGAAATCTTCTGTGGAAAGACAACATCTCACCCAAATCTAAATCCATCCTCCCACTCACCTCTCCATCTAAGCCCAAAGCCCAGCTTAGTGGCTGACAAATGAAAAGACGTTCAATAAATAAGCAGCAAGCTCAAATGATCGAAGCCATACATAGCAAAGATTCAAAGGATTTCAGAGGTTTAAAGTATGAAGTATGAAGAAAGTTCATCTGATTAGAAAAGATTGCAAAGAGTTCATGAAGCAATGGCACAGGAAACAGAATTTGAAGTACAGGTAACTATAAAAAAAATTTCTCAGTACGTTTGCAGCACATACCAATTACATTCATCATGGGGAATTGGTACATGTACATAACACACCTCCATCAGGTAACACTTTAAACGTGCATGATAGGGGAGGAGGAAGCAGAAAAGCAACATTTATGCTTCAAAAACTGTAAATCTGAGAATGGATGCAATGGGACATAGACGGAGAGCGAGACTGACAACGCCACTGATTAACAATTAACTTCAGCTGCTAATAAGAGCTCTCAAAGTGATGGGAGCTACTTTATCAGATAAAGTATCTACTGCAACAAATGCACCCTCACTAATAAATACTGAAAAATTCTGAGGTGAAAAATGAGAAAAGGGAGACACTGGAGGGCTTCTGGGGTGCCACCAATATTTTATTTCTTAACCTGGACAATATAGTGATATGGGTGTTCACTTTTTTTTTTTTTTTTTTTTTTTTTTTTATCTTTTTTTTTTTTTTTTTTTTTTTGGTATCGAGTATTGAACTCAAGACCATGTGCTTTCAAGGCAGGTGGCAGCACCACTGAGCTAAATCCTGGCCTAGGGTGTTCACTTTTTAATAATTTGCCAAGGTAAACACTGACATTTTACAAGTTTTTCTGGATATTTAACAAAAAAAAAATTTTTTTAAAGCAGGCATAAGACTAAGATATTGCTATGGACTAAATTACATCACCCTCAATATTCATATTTTGCGGGGTCGGGGATTTGGCTCAGTGGTTCCACCACCTGCCTTGCAAGCACAAGGTCCCAAGTTTGATCCCCAGTACCAAAAAAAAAAAGAATTTCATATTTTGAATTGCTAATCGCAGGACCTCAGAATATGACGTATTTGGAGACAGGGTTTGTAAAGAACTAAATTAAAATGTGTCAGTAGGGTAACCCCAATCTGACTGATGTCCTACAAGAAGGAAATTTGGACACAGATGAGAAGTAAGATGATATGAAGACACAACACTGGCCATGTACAAACCAAGGACAGAAATCTCAAAAGAAACCAACCCTGCTAATACCTTGATCTGTCTTCTAGCCTCTAGAACTGTGAAAAATTTAAATTGTTGTCTAAGCTACTGAATCTGCAGTATGTATGGCAGCTCTAGAAAATTAATGAAGATTTCTTAAAAATAAGACTAACAAGTCAACAATCTATACATGCCTGATGTGTTCAGAAAATGTGACCATAATGAAGAAAAGTATAAAAAGAAACAATGAGCATAGAAATTGAGTAAATAACTTTCTAAATTTACTGCTAGTAAAAGCCAAATAAATTGTTTAAAAATATTTTTTAAAAAATACCAAGATCACTGTCAAACTCTCAGGGCTTAAAAATACTGAATAAATGAATACTCTACTGGGGGGTGGGGAGGGACAGAATTAAGCTAAGGAATAAAATCTTGGAAGAACTCCCAACTTCTTCCAAAAAAGCTTGCAGCTGAACCTGCTGGGGCACTTGTTAAAAAATAGTTTCTGAGTCTGAGATCCTGTATTTCTAAGAAACACCTGCAACAGACCAGGCATGCACAGATCAAGCTGAGTAGCAAGATGTTAAGCAAAAGCACTCATACCACATTGGTTTACTCTAATGGTGGCACCTGTGTCACTCTACGACTTGTCAGTGGGTAGCAGCCTCTTTTCCCAGTTTCTACCACTCTAGCCATTTTTCTCGTCTACCTCGGGCTTTGGCACTAATAATACCAAAATTATACACAATAATAGTACCTATTTTGTTGATAGAGTGATTCATTTATCCTTATCAAGTCTTGGAAGTAGTACTACTTGCCTGATGAATGAAAACAAGTAACTTGGCTAAGACCACTTGGGCTCTTAAATAGTGGGGGAGGGGGGCTGAAGGTTGGTGATACGTGGAGAGGGAACTTCTCCAAACGGGAAAAACTGAAAAAAGGGTTGGAACAAGGAGCCACTAGACTGAATAACTATCAGAAAGACCTCCATGGGGGCTGCCAGCCTAGGAGTGTAAATCCGGCAGAAGTTTTTGATTTCAACGAAGTTACACGTGCGACGTCGAAGGCACTAACTTGAATAGACTCAAACTCTGTGTTAGTCTACCAAGGCATAAAAGTCAAAGGGTTGCAATTTAGTTGGCGCGTTTGTGTAGTCTCCTAGAGCCGTGGCTCTCAAACTTAAAAGAATGTGTATTTTTAACAAGTTCCTAGATGACGAAGCTCGTCTGGGAACCACTTTTCATAATCACTGTACTAGTCAAAACCTGAATTGATTTTCATCACCCATCACAAACATACAGGCTTGTGGCATTTAACTCTTCAAATTAATTTGGGGTTTTCCAAAGTAAACTACAATTCAATCTGAGCTATTTTGCTGGCCGTGTTTGTTCAAATTATGCCTAAAGTTTTCACAGATAACCAACGCCCACAAAATGCGACCTCTGCTCGGGGTCACTAGGCCGGCGACACCCCCCGCCCGGGAGGCTCGGTGCGCAGCCGTGGGGCCGGGACTCCGA